AAACGCTAAATAGTAGTTTCCATTCTATTTTCCATTGTCCCAATTTAACCCCTATACCAGTCCAATAACCCTAATTTTGCTTATTGGCTTCAGGCTCCGAACTTGTGCGCTTAGAGCAGTCTACAAGTACCAAGCCGAGTTCGCAGTATAGTCCCCCTAAGAAGATAGAATATGGGGTATATACGGGTCTTATGATAATGTACAAAAGCCATATTCTATCTACTTAAGGGGGGATATAGCTCTATAACAAAACGGAAAGCTTATCCTGGAGCATCCAAATAACGACTTGATCTGCAGTGTCGATGTCCTGGTCAACGCCTGCGATGGCACAAAAACCAGGGACCTTCCCAGTTTCAGCATTCAGGGTGGTTTTGGGTCTATATACTATAGTTATTGTCTTTCCCTAAACCCTAAACTGGCCTTCGTAGACATCATTCGCTTCCCACTTGTCCTTCTTCTTCGTTTTGGTGTCACCTGCTGCAGTGCGCCGCAGGAATAACCGAGAGCTGATCCAGCCTGACATCCTAGCCTCTACATGGGTGGTTATCAAAATTATGGTCCCTTTTTGGGGTACCCTAAATATTAGGGGCCGTATTATAATAGGGACCCAAAAAGGGACCATGATTTTGATAACCACCCACATGAGCTATAGCCTAAACTCCTAGCATCCCCCGTAATGACCCGTATGGTAGTCCCCTGTATAACTACCTGTAAGGACTTTAGGCTTTCGAAACGCTGCGTAACAGGAAGGGAGCCGGGCATATGGCTGGGCACCGGACACATGGCACTCAATCCTCAATGCTCAACATTCCAATCTCAAATCTTTAGCTACGCAGGAACCATGTGCTTGCCGGAATCAACCTCCGTTTCTCTTGCCTAGCTTCAAAAACTCGAGCCGTTCATTAGCATTTCTTCAACAAATTGTCAGGGTGTCATTGAAGAAGCAACACACGCCATGTTCTTCATTCTTCCTTTGCCAATTTTGCAGCTTGGCTGGCCTTTGAATAAGCGCACGATCTTCAACTGATCGTGGCGCTTCAGATGCCTAAAATGAAGGGGCCCCCAAACAAGCTTAGGCGAGCGGGGTTTCCGATTTACCATGGATGCACACTTTGCTGAAACTTCTTTGCTTCTGAATGTCCATTTGTTTTCAGCTGCTAGGTTAGTCGGTTAGTCAGTTGACTTTGTCTGCCTGCTGCATCGCTTTACCAGGTTGTGGATTTTCGGTGGCATTGTGGTCCGTGGCGCAGCCCTCGCTGCATCAGCCACCATGACAAGAACAGCCAGGGAAATAACACTCTCTCTGGGATGGCTCTCTAGGATCCTACCACAATCGCAAAAAGAGCGCCTCAGGAGATAGCGCCCTCAGTACTAGTTGCTTGTAAAGAAACAACGAAACAAGTACCCTGTAGGCCTTCATCGCTCAGAATGCCGCGTGTGGCATGGCTCATGTTGCACTGCGTGCTCAAAGCCACTGTAAGCTTCTGCAACAGTGCCAGCCATATCTTACAAGGAGCATTCAGCTGGACTGCGCCTGCAGGCGAGGGCGAAGGCGATGCGGAGGGCGAAGGCGAGTTGCTCCCTTTGACACATTCATTCTACAGCTTTCCACCCACCGGCATGTGCAGTATGAGTATTCTTCCACGTGGCATACGCAAATAATTCAAGCATGCAGCGATTACACAAAGCCACCAGACATCACCCCGGGCCCGGGACTTGACATTACCCGCGATTTGACGCCCAACTTGCCTACGCTTTTACCAGAACTTATGACTCTTCCTACCTCTACCGGTGCAGAAGGGCCAGTGCGTATGCAAACACAGCCCAGACCACGGAAAAAAAGTGTCTGACATGGCGCGTCTTACAAGCAAGCACTAGCGTCATGCACCTTTTCTCTTAGACTGTGAGAAGAAAACACAACGATCTCATGAAACGACCAAGTTACCTGAAGGTGTCGGCGACGGGCTGGGGCTGCCTTTCAATACCACACAGAAGGCAGTATTCAAATTCTTGCTCTGCTGATGCCCGCCGCCGCCGCCACCACCACCACCACCACCACCACCACCACCACCACCACCAGTACTAGTAGTAGTAGTAGTAGTACTACTACTACTACTAGTTGTTCTTGCTGCTGCTGGTGCTGTTGCTACTGGCTGTCGCTGTCGTTGTTGTTGCTGTTGCTGTTGCTGCTGTTGTCATCGTCATCGCTGCCGTCACCGCTGTAAGTCACAAGGCACCGGCTTCAGGAACTAGCCCTTGTTTTGCAATGAAATCAAGATTTTCCCGAAAGGAACATCGAAACATGCATATTGCGAGCAGGCCTTCGTTCTTGTTGATCATGTTGTCCATCTTTGCCTTGCTCTTCTCCGACTTCTTATCCTCCCTCTTTCGCTGCTCCCTCCTTGATTCGCGGATTCTGGTAGACGTCTTTCTCATAGGTGATGCAAAGGCCTGCAGGCTGTCAAACTTCAGCAGCCGGACAACGTCAAAATCTGTCTTGTAGACCTCGTTGTCAAGAAGCGCTAGGTCATGGAAGTAGTGAAAGCCTGGGATGCGTCGTCCCTTGTTTCGAAATCATGTTTGAAGGGTCCACACGGACCACTGACTTCTGCGGGGTTGTATCAAATAAGAAACAGAGCACTTCCCAATGCAAGCAAGAAAGCAGGGGTGCTCAGTTGAGGAAACCTCCGCGGTGCGCATGAAGTTATCCATCAGGTTGAGCTGATCCAGCCTCAGTTTGAAAAACAAACTTGCTACTGTATTGATCTCAAGCTCGATGTCGCACCATCACTGTTTTGACAGATTCGGGGACTGTGCAGGCTCTGATGGCAGCAAATTTGCTGCTTCTAGTAGGACCCTGTTTTCTCAGAACACTGCCCCCTCCTAAACATGTCCAATCTTCCAACCCTACCATTGAGCCCCGGCGCCTGTTCCTCTTGTCCACACCCCAGTCAGACTCCTCTTCCTCAACGTTGGATTCACAGTCTGGATTCCAGGAAGGTTATGGCGAAGGTTACAGAGTGATCTCGGTTCGCGGCATCGCTTCGTGCTTTGGTTTGGCAATTTCTGTGGGTCCAAGTAGGCTTTTGGCTTAAGGTTTGTTGGAGCCGTACCCATGCGCCCCCTCCTTTTTCAAGTCGTCCAACGTCTGCCACTGCTGCGGGTCACGGAGAGCACCTTAGTCTTTGTTAGTCTAAGCCGCCCTTCATGGAAACATCGGAATTCGACGCATGGTCAATGTCTGTCGGTGCTTGAAGATCAGGGCAGTTTTGATGTGCAAGAAGAGAAGCGTACAGTAGCACATCAACTTGCGGAGCAACTGGTGCTGGCCTTCTGTTGAGAAAGCCCCATCAAGTTGCCTTCGCAAAGCTAGCTGTCAATGTTGTGAAGGTTCGCTTGCGTTCCAGCTGGTTGCTTGGAATGTTGGGAACCAAAAACCAAACAACCCCACACTGACAACGCTTCCAAGCCTTTCCCAATAGCCGGGACCGCGCCAAAGCCCCGTTCAAACCTGCTGGCCCTGAAAATTCATCCCAAGGCGCAGTAGGGCCGGTAGTTTGGTGTCGAGGGCATCCAGTTCCTGTCAAGCTCTTGCGGAAAGAGCTCAGAAGGTGCAGCTGAGGAATCTAGACCTTGCCATTAGCATTGGCCGAAAGCAGCGAACTACATTCCTGACCTGCAAGTGAACGTTGTGCAAATGAGCTTAGCTCTCCAATTTCTTGCTTACAGGGCAATTGGCCAAATCCTTACCAGGGAATGAAGAGCCGCCCCGTCTCAGCATTTCAACTTCACGAAGGTGCCTGAAACCGAGTCGAATAGCTCTCCCGAGATCTAGCCGCAACATGTCAAGAATGATCAAACCTTACCCCTAAACCCATCAGCTTGATGCAACACATATAACCCCAATATACTATAGTAGCTTCCATTTTCTTTTCCATTATCCCCATATAACCCCAATATACTATAGTAGTTTCCATGTGTACTCTGACAGGCAGCCTTTCAAGGACCTGCATGGCTAACATGTCGGTTGCCACGCTTGTTTATTGTTTCAAGGCTTACCCTCTGCGATGTACGGCACCGTTGCAGTAGCATAAGGTTTGGGTTACCTGGGCTTGCAAGGCGGTCGTGTTTTTGGTCCGGAAAAGGCTTCCTCTGCGAAGTTCTCAGAGTGAAAGGCTATGCGTTGAACCCAGAGCTTTGTAGGAGAGTTTCGAGGTCGTGAAAATCTACACCCTGAACACCATAGAACCTGTACTCTGAACCTGCCGGAGCCTGGCGCCCTTGAATCAGAACTATGACGTTCTGGGATATGGAAGGGGAACTTCCTGTTTGGAAGCATCCATGCGGGAGTTTGTCAAGGCTAAGTGTTTCAACCTGCGGCAACATGCATGTAATCTTTAAAGATGGTATAAGGTCTACATGGGATCCATTTACAGTGGTTATAAGGGCTATATAAGGTCCTTCTAAAAGGGGTTAAGATGCCTTGCCACCGGTCCTAAACCCTAATTAAACACTAAACCCTGACTTGCAATGTGTTAGCCAGGTCTCTCAACCATGTTCAGGTCGTAGCTGGCAAGCTCTCCTCGACTCTACCGATTCTACAATACAATGACATAACCTTTTCTTGCTTGTTCCTAGTAGGGCATAAGGGAACATATTATATGGGTAGTATATGAGCCATAATCTAAACTCCGTAAGGGGAGATATTTCGGGGATTATATAGGGGAGCATTATAATGGTTATTAAGGGGGATACTAGGAGTTAAGACTATAGTCTATATAGGGATCATTGGAACATCTTCTGTTATTCCCTACTAAGAACCAATATTTTTCCAAAGGGTTCCAGGTGCTGGGGTTGCTGTAATAAGCATCGCAGACAAACGCCCGTTTCCAGCACACAGCCCTTAGCTTAATGGGGGTCAGTAGTAGGGAATACAATCCCTGTATAATGTGTTCCCTTATTCCCCTACTGTCCACCAGTAAGTTAGGAAGAAGGCAAGTGGCGTGATGGCTGGCAGACAATTACAAAGCTCTAAACCCTAAATTACCTACCTTGGGCCATTTGAACCCCCAGAAGTCCTTAGGAAGAAGGCAAGTGGCGGGAGGGCTGAAAGTGGTTCATCGCCTCATCCTCAAGCTCGAGCTTCTCCAGCTTTCGCTGCGTCATGCGCGGCGGCAACTTGAACTTGACGATCTGGGATCAGACGAAAGGAAACAAATTTTGAGATTCAGAAGGGCTGGACTATTGTAGTAATGGTAATTATAATAGTGACAGTGGTAATGCTAGTAGTACTGATAATAATCATCCCACTATCTGTGCTAGTAGTGGTGGGGTATGCGCATCGAGACTCACGGTTTGGCCATCAAGTCTGCATCAACAGCCAGGTACTTGCTGTCAGGTGTTTATTCCATAGTAATAACAGTGGTACAGATACTTTTCATTGTGGTAGTCATAGCCATCGTAGTCATCATAAGAGCTAACAATAATCTGTTTCGGATTTTGATGTCAGTGTGAAAGCTCCTCTACCATGCGTAGTCACCAGACGTCAAGTAATGTGGAGGGTCTCAGGTCGCACTTCGTGTCTTGGTATATGCGCAAACTGAAAGACCGCGTCTTCCAACGCTCAGCCTACATTCTATGTGTACATGCATTCGGCCCTGGCATATTGCTGGAATATGGGCGCCCTTTGCAAGAGCCCCGCTGAGGGTAGCAGCGAGCCATGCCCACTCTGAGCACCAAAAATGGAAAAAAGAAGCAAAGAAGAAACTTAGTTAGGGTTTGGGTTTTGCAACAGGCCCTCATGTATGAAAGGCCTGCACTGCATCAAAACATGAGCTTGAGGCTCCAAGAAGTGCACCCGTCGAGTTTCATAAATCCGCCCAAAACTGTCAATCTTCGACCCTTACCTATTGGGTTGGCCCTGAAACCGATTGAAAAATGTGCGTATATAGGGTCTCCCATTAAAGCCTTTTGGGAAAATATCAACTGTCCTAGGGGCCCATGATATAGTATACCCTGAAGCTCCAGTCGAAGGATGCACGCCACCACAGTACCTGCACAGCCAGAGCCTCGCCAAATCCCAGAACAACCACCTGTGCCTTGAGCGTTTGGGTGCGACCTGAATACTGTAGGGGCCAATTTCATCAGAACAGGGCCGCGGTGCGTGCTAGTATGTCGTAGTGATATGGTGAAGGATATATGGAAGTCATATAGGTAATTATCAGGCTTCTGCAATAGCTGAGCTCCCGTAGGAAACAGCCCCCGGACCCACAGCAGTGAAAGTCAAAGTCCTGCAACTCTGGGAAAAGCCAAACGAACACAAGACTTACTGGTTCCTAGTAGGGAATAAAGTAGGGAATAAGGGAGTATATGTTTGTTGTTTTTTGAGCGCCTCTTTTGCTCCCTGCAGAACAAAGGGTCCCCTAGGCCCAGGCGAAATTGGATCCCCTCAGGAATATATAGGGTTTAGGATTTAGGGTTAGTAGGGAATAAGGGGCTATAATCCCCGTATAGTGTGTTCCCTTAATCCCTAAGAACCAATATACAGACCATCCAAAACCTGAGCTCGAAAAGCTTCAGCACTCCCGCTCATGTTGGGCAAGCTTGACAAATCTTTAAAAAAACAATTTGTTGACCTCAATCCTAAGCCTTCAACACTAACCTCACTAAACCCTCAAAACTGAGCCCTGTTCCCACCTTGAGTTCCTTCATCGGTGCCCCGGGCTCTTGCTTGCTCTTCATCGGCCCCAAGGCTGTGACCTTGGGGTTCAGGTCCGCGGCTAGGAAGGGTTGGCTGGGTTTATGGCACCCTTTCACATGCAAATCTAAGTTGTGCGATTTTTTAACAGCTTGTGAGCAGATATCTTGCAAGGGTGACTCATCAGTTTTGGTGAAAAAAATCAAGTCCTAAACCCTAAGTAGTAGTTTCCATTTTCTTTTCCATTATCCTTAAATAACCCCTAAACCCTAAACCCTATAAAATCCCATTATAAGAGCACTCTGAAGCATCTCCCAGCTGTCCTCTGCTGCTCAGCCACACTCCCTGCTTCGTATGAATACTGGGGGGTTTAGTGATGAGGGTTTAGGGTTCAGGGATTAGGGTTTAGGGTTTCCCAAAGTTAGGGGTACCATTTTTAGGGGTCCCCATAATAGGGATTATAATATATTGGGGTCCATATTGGGGTCCCCTTATTCAGGGAAACTACCACTTGTGGCTCGGAATGATGCTATGATTTGACCGTGTGTCCATGGCTTCTGCGGCTCTGCTCAGCAAACCCCTTTTCGAAGAACCAACCATTCCCCCCAAATTGGTATCTGGGCACCTCGAAGGGGTCCTCGGCACCAGAGATGAGCTGCAATACATGCGGCGTGCCCTGGTGCACGCAGGTCGCATTATCCTGGATACTGGGCAGTTTCCGATATCATGCGTACCATTTCGGCATTCCCAATGGGAAGGATTACAATGTTGTTCTGTCTCTCTCCCTCTGAGACTCGATCAACATCAGCGCCGAAGCTTGTTCTTGGAACTGAGCAGAAGTACAGAACGTACCCTACTGGCACAAAGACCTCAGTGTTTCCCGCTACTAAGAGAAACTACCATTTGATGGTTCCGAGTTCGAAGCACCTGTACCAACTGGAACTTTTGGGCGTTGGGCCTCAGCAGTAGCATCGATGATAATAGATGTGTTGGGTCAGGAATTTAGGAAAGGCTATCAAGATGAATGGTTGACGCTGGGGCCATGTGTGTGTCGAACCTCACGTCTGACACAATGCCCTCAAGTCACCACATGAACTCTGGGCCCTAGTGCGCCATGAATTCTTTCACGGAGCGGAATTATTCAGATTGAATGAAAACTGGAAACACGGCAGCGTATCTGCTCTATGAGCACTACAGGTCAAAGGTCTACAGTACTTGTAGTTTCCCTTGCTGGGTACGTGCCTAAGAAGATTTTAGTATGTTATGATCATAGCATGTAGGGCATAAGGATTATATAGGGTCATTTTGTAGTTGCTCTTTCTGCTGAGCAGGGGGTGCTGGGTGGATGGCCAAGTCTCCAAGAAGAGACACCAGTGGCCGTGATGTGGATCGAAGCTGAAATTCCTGGGTTGCCGTTAAGGGGCTCGGTAGGAAACCCCATTGCTTAAGGGCCCATATAACTACCAACATGTAGCTTTTAGGGTTTAGGGGCCTAAATGATTGCCGCGTACTGTATACTCCTAGCCTGGTAACTTAGTTTAAGGTCTTTAGCAGCGACCCAGGTTCTTGACTGCCGTAGCCGCTTGACGGTCGAAGGAATGCTCCATGTTATACAGCCTTAGCATCAGTGTTGCCTCTTCTAGGCTTCTGGATTCTTTTGGATAGCCCAGAACTGGACATGAACCAGTCAAACCGAGACACAGCCGGCCCTCCACGCGGGTTGTGGGGAAGTAGAAGCCCTCGAAGTTCGCGTACGAAAGAGGGAGAGGGTTCTTCCTGCATGCTATCAGAACTCAAGCCTTGATAGTACGGTGTGATCACCATTGCACTAGAGCATGGTACCACGCAAGGTTGGACTTCAAGAAAAAGCCATGAAGTGCATCTGAGCTTCTCCCCGATAATTGACAAAGGTTCATGCGGTGCGATCTCGCAACACGTGTACAAGAATCCTTGGCTGCACTTCAGGTGCGGAAACAATGAACTACCTGACTCTAGCCACATAGAATAAATAAGGATTGAAAGGCAGGGGACTTAGAGGGTCAAAGCTACAAAGGTTCAAACCTTACTGCGCGACACCTATAGAGCTAGGATTTTGAGGGGCCGAGAGTCGAACCTCCGAGTTGCTCTCACCAGGATCCTTTGCCTCCAGGACGAAGTGATTCAACACCCAGCTGTCCTCTCGTTTTCAATCCGATTTGTGTATTGGGGTGCATGCGGGTTGTGGCATGCATGCAGCCTGCAATCCTCGACATCCCTTTTCGGCACACGGAATAGACACGGGGAGGTAACAGGGGTGTTTCCGTGACGGAATCCGAAGCCGCCGCCAGAACACGAGGAAGGAGAAACAGCAGGAGTACTAGTAGCAGTGGCTACAGTAGCAGTTACCAGTAGTTCGCCGTCGTCGTAGCACCATAAGCAGGAGGCGTAGCAGTGGCAAGCGGAGGAGCGGCAGCAGCAGCAGCTTCTAGCCTCTCCTTCAGCAGCAGTAGTAGGAGTAGATGCCAGTGGTAGGAGTAAGTTAAAAAAACGGCAGGTGCCACGAAAGCAGCACGGACCACAAGAGTAACAAACCTACGTAAACAACAAACCTACGTAAACAGGCGGTCCTTGCAGCTCAGCACATGCTTCGCCAAAGCCTCAATTCGTCCTTGAACCTTAGTTGTGGAGTTTCTAGGCTTTTCCGACGGTTTACCTTTTTGTTGATATGGGGTTTCCAAAGAAATGTGAAAGCAAATCCTTGTCGATGACGCACCCCAGCGTTATTGCGTGGGTGTGTACTGTACATGAAAGTAATTAGACACGAAACCGCAAGGGGAAGTTGCCATGCCAAAGGGCCGGGTTAGGAGCGCTAGGTAGGACCACCTCGTACTTAAGGCTCCTACAAAAGGCTAAAGGTTACCACCCTAAGACCTTAAGCCCTAAATCTTTACCCCTAAACCCTACCGACTGGACAAGGCACAGAAGGCTCTCGCTTCGTCCATGGTGTCAACTCGAGATCACAACCGCCCATACCATGCAGGTCGCAGCAGCGATACGAATACCTTAGGGTTTAGGGTTGGGAGTTTTAGGGTTTCGTGACTAAAGTGGTCATCATATTAGGGTCCCCGTCTAGTCCTATGATACCACTAGTACAGGGTGGGGGCTGAGTACCTGGATCTGGTGATCTAGGCGAGGGTTCTTTAAGGAGGATTCTGGTCTTTGCTGGTGTGCCATTTCAGCATGTACGCTTCCGCTGCAAATCCTGCACTCTAAACAGCTGGGACCTCTGAATCCTGACCGCCCAACAAAAAACAGAATCGCAACCGAAATGATTGCGAAAGATGTGCTGTTCACCTTTCGGGGACAACATGGCAAGCAAAGAGCCCGGCAAACGGCAAACCTCCGACGCGGAATCTGAAGCAGAAGACTTTACCGCCCAGACACTGGTAGCCCTGAGGACAAGTCTGGAAGGCCACCTCAGATTTCCAATTGGATGCCGGGGGCCAGGGAGAAGGATCGGACTCCCTATCGCTGTTTCATTAGTGTTTGCTTCAGTGTGAAGATTGCACGCTTCGAGCCTATCTGCGTAATCAGGAGAAAACCTCCATACTCAACAGGTCTTGGAGGCAGGCCTCGTCGCCGCAAGAGCTCACGACTTCATTTGTTGTACCAGAGGCCCGACACCATAATTAATACTTTGGGGCCACTACCCCAGCCCCTCCCTCACCCCAAGCCCACAGCCTAGCAAGAGACTTCTGAAGGGACCCCCCTCCCCCCCCAAAAAAACGCAAGAAGCACTCCTGAGGCCAGGCCGCTGATTGCAGAGCTTGACCTCGGCCACACTGAACCTCAGGTCCCACCACAAGGAATAAAGATGGAAACTACTATAATATAGGGGATATATAGGGGTAGATATTGGGGATAATGGAAAAGAAAATGGAAACTGCAATTTGGGGTTTAGGGTATTTCAACGTCATCACCTCCACCATCATCACCGTCATCGTCAGCAGCAAATTCATCACCCACCGTCATAGTGCAAAACGAGAAGAGGGCAAGCACAAGAAGCCTGGATGGCTTCATTCATCATCTTCAGCACCATAGTGCATCAAAGATGTTCTTTCAAGTTTGGTCTAGAATACACATTGGAGACAACAATGAAAGTTGGCATCAGAAGACAATGGCAATAGCTTTCAGCTCCATTCGCAACATGAGGCACGGTAGGCAAAGCACCTGTACCAATGGCAATCTCCGTAACGGTAGCATGAAGTCCTGAAAGCCCGCTTGCCACAGGCTAATTTTGAGTTGCAAGGTTTGCCAGCTGACAACTCCAGTCCAGGGCTCAAGGCATAAGAGAGTGCACTCAACACTATTAAAAACTGCGTGCTGAGTTTGGTAAGGAAGCGCGATGCGCTTCAAGCTGGTAGAGCTCTGAGTCGGTGGCCTGCCGCGCAGGAGTCCGGAATTCGCTTAAAAGATCAGACTCCGACTTAGCTCCTATCGGAGCTTTCTGGTCTAGGGGTTCCGGTTCAGACTTCAGGGTCCACGACATATGTGCTGCAAATGGTGCTGGGCCTTGGAGGTGAAACATACTATGAGCCATAGTCTAAACTCCTAGTATCCCCCTTAATAATCCCTATAGTAGGCCCCTATATAATCCCCTATATACCCCCCTTCAAGGAGTTTAGCCTATAGCTCATATACTCTCTTGGATAAACTGCAGGGTCCTTGAGGCTCTTTGAGTGCTGTGTGGGCAGGCCTGGACACAGTCGGTCTGCAGGTCATGGCAGTTCGCAGCATCAAAAACGCCACTGGCCATCCAATAGCCTAGACAGGGCGTTGGGGCAATGGGGCATAAATAGATTCTTTACCAGATTGAGAAAGCCTTGGCAATTCCGAACTGATACAGTGGCAGAAGCTGAAAAAAACTCAGCGAGCACGACAGCTAGCAACAATTGGAAGGTTGTCAAAATTGTGCCCTAAGCCCTATATAAACGCTGTAAAAATCGTTTAAACCCTAAGCCCTCCCTTTTTTGACAACCCTTCAAGTACAAGCCAACGGGCTGTAGCGGAATTGGCCGGGGACCGACGTGTTCTTTAGGTGGACTTTGGACAGGAAGTGCTGGCCCACAGGATCTCCCACCTCAGGAGCAATAGCAAGAAGAAGAAGAAGTGGATGTAGTAGTACCTATTCGTGATCGGCTAGTAATTAGTAGCTAGCAGTTAGTAGTCAGTAGATGATAATAATTATCAGTAGTGGTAGTAGGCGCAACACCCCTAGGCACTGCTTTTTACTTAACAGAATAACAAGGACGACAGGTTTGTGTCAGGAGAGGGGTGGGGAGGGGGGGGGGGCGGGGGTAGTTCAGTTCCATGCAAACAGACCGCATTCGGTAACCAACAACTCGCGAATGTGATTTGGAAAAGCTCCGTGTTCGAGATTTCGTGCTGCTACGTGGCTGCTGCCTGCACTCATCAACAGCGTGAGAAGATCCAAATAAAAATATATATAACTACGTAGAGCCCTTACAAATTGGCCCCTTTAACGCACTGTACTAGGTCGGGGCAGAACCCCATATACTAACATTACTGCTGCTGTTACTAGCCGCCTCCACGGGGAATTCACAAATCAATTTAAGTAAAAAGTACTGCCTAGGTTGAGGGGCAGCTAGTAGTCATGGTAGTAGTGGTAGTAGTAGTAATAGCAGCAGCAGAAGTGGTACCAATCGTCGTCGTCATCATCGTCTTAGTGATAAGGTAATGATAGCAATAGTGATCGGCATGATACTGTTACTACACCCTAAACACTTCAACCACTTTCGTAAGAACACTTTATAACAGTGAATAACAATAATCATATTCATCAGCAATAACATGTAATAAAAGTAGCCTACAGGATCGCCCACCTTCCCCATGGAGACCAAGAGCTTCAGCGGATTGCCAGACGAGCTGGCGGAAACCTCTGCTGTAGGGGCTCTCAGCAGAATAGCAAGGGTTTTATAGGGATATAGGGGCATTTAAGGAAAGGGAAAAAGGAAATGGAACTTAGGGTATAGGGTTGATGCATATGCAAGCCCAATTGTGAGAATGAAATAGAAAAGACCATGGAACATGAAATCCCTAAACCCTTACTAAACCTCAAACCCTAAATGGAAGCTGCGCCTTGATAATATGATAATAGGGTTTGAACAGATTGTAACCAATAGTCCAATACAGCCGCTACATAATCCTAAAGAGTAAATTCCGTTGTATTTTCCATTATCCCTATGTAAAACACTACAGTACTTCCCCAACGAACAGACAGTCTGTTTGGAGCGCAAAAATAGGCTCTGAACACTGCTGAAAGGGCCCAGAAGCCGCAGAGCATGCGCTGTGGTCTTCAACACCACAGCGGTGCTCCACATTCCTGGGATAGATTGCCAGGCCCC